TTTTTTCCACTTTCGTTCCATGAGTTGCTTTTGCGTGTCCGCAGCATGCCTAGCCCCATTGTGTCGCTCCTCATCGTTTTTGAACCTCAAAGATTGCAAAGCCTGGTCCCAAGTCCAGGTAGAATGGACCCACATGAGCTTTTTGTGCTAGACGACACCATCCCGGGTGTGAGGGTTGCCTCCCGCGTCAGGAGAGTGCGTGAGCCCGATCATTATCCATGACACCCCTTCACCTCAAGCATCTTTTCGATCCTTGGATACTGGACTCGCTATGTGTGCAAATAAAGCATTGTATCCTGCAGAGGTGCCCTTTCGAACAAGCCAGCCATGGGCACAGCGTCGTCGCCAGATCCCCTGCCCGCGGGTCTCCTATCCGACCCCTCCCGCATCAGGCCATCTTCGAAGGATGGCTCTGGAGGACACCTTGGTGGGGGAATCAGGGACTGGTGTTCTCGTGGGGTTTGCCCGGTCCCCCCCTCAGCGGGTCCATGGCATGACAGGAAACTGAGCTCGATCAAAAACGTGACAGCCCCCATGACAGCCAATTGGTATTTCCATGTTGATAGAAGTCCTGAGGGAGGTACAATTGCAATCGCACCTGCATGATCCTGCTGGGGATGTGGTGTGCAACCAAGATGGCTTTTCGTGAGATCAGGGCTGCACGAACCATCACGAGAAATGAAGCATACCTGTCAGCCCCATGTTTTGGGGGGGGTATTCCATTCACTTGTCACACCCCATCCCGTTTGCTGGGCGACAATGATGTCATGTGGTGATCGATCACACCTGGCAAGCCAGCTTGGATAGTGCAGTGATCTTGAAGCAATCCACTGTAGCACTTCACACTGAGGCCGCCTCTCGGCCCACTGAGGACATGGCATCTCGCTGGGACCGGCTGGGCACCTGTCGGGGACTCAGAGCACCACCCCTCAGGTTGAACCGTCCTTCACATGGATGACATACATCCCGGACAGACTTCGGTAGCCCCTCCACTGGACATGGGTGCCACTTCCACCAGAGACAAAACTAACCATTCTTTCTCCATGCGGGCAAGGATGATGCGGGCTCGTTGGACTCCGACCTCCATGCGATCTGCCCAGACCTCTCGCCGCTGGTTTGGGCGATTGACATTCGAAGAGACAAAAGGCCCCTCGGCCAGGATATGCTCCAGGCCCCGCTTTGGAACAATCTGTGCTCCCTTGCTGTTGCGGGGCTACTGTTATTCGTTGGGGGCGGCCCAAACTGCGGCACCTGGAGCATTCTTCGCTGGTTCCCCCAAGCCCAACGGCCCGAGGCCAGTGCGGGGTGCATGGTATCCGTCCTCGACCTCAGGCACTGATCCGACACTCTTGTGGGACACTCTTGCAGAACACCCTTGTGGGACTCTTTTCTGGACCACTCTTGTAAGACACTCGTGTGGGACACTCTTGTCGGAAACTCTTGTAGGACTCTTTTGGGACACTCTTCTGGGACACTCTTGCAGGACACTCTTGTGGGACGCTCCTGTAGGACTTTCTTGTAGGACACTCTTGTAAGACACTCTGGTCGGACACTGTTGCACTCTTGTACATGTGGGTCACTCTTGTAGGAAACTCTTGTGGGACACTCTTGTCGGAGATTCTTGTAGGACCCTCTTGTGGGACACTCTTCTGGGACACTCTTGCAGGACACTCTTGTGGGACGCTCCTGTAGGACACTCTTGTAGGACTCTCTTGTAAGACACTCTGGTCGGACACTGTTGAACTCTTGTACTCTTGTGGGTCACTTTTGTAGGAAACTCTTGTTGTAGGACACTCTTGTGGGACACTCTTGTGGGTCGCCAGTTCTCAGCTTCCAGCTCTACAGATTGCTCCGCGTACTAAAGTTGCTAAAGTTGTACTACAAAGTCACCAGTTCTCAGCTTCCAGCTTCAAGTTGTACTATCAAGTCACCAGTTCTCGTCTTACAGCTCCATACCCCGCGTACTAAAGTTTACTACAAAGTCGCCAGTGCTCGCCTGCATTTCGCGCGCTCGACACGCGCGATCTCCGCAGAGGGTTGCGCGGGCACGGGAGAAATCGCACTCTCGCCTGCGTTTCGCACATTCGACACGCACGATCTCCGCAGAGGGTGTCGCGGGAAGCCGGCAAATCGCACTCTCGCCTGCATTTCGCGCACTCGGCACGCACAATCTCCACAGAGGGTTGCGTGCGCATGGGACAAATCGCGCTCTCGCCTGCATTTCGCGCACTCGACGTGCATGATCTCCGCAGAGAGTTGCGCGTCAAGTGTCCAAAACGAGCGTTTCGTACGAGACTTCCTCAAAAACTCACACGTCAAAATCTGCAAAACGCACGTTTTGTACGAAACTTCCTCCAAAAGTCAAGCGGAAACACCCATCGGAGCACACACATCACGCAGCCCTGCCAAGCAATTTCGCGATTCCACCCCCTCCAAACAACATCCGCTCACACGCCAATCCCAATGAGACAGCGACATTCACCTTTACCATAACTCACAAACTCACGATTCCCTGGGCCTGCCACGAATCTTTCCGCGTCCACACGTCTAACGCGCACAAAATACTGCGCCTGCCACGAAATGTCACCTCCGTCACATTTCGCAACCTAACGATTCCCTGCGCCTGCCACGAGAATCGCACTTCCAAGCCTCAAAACCCACACAAAGTCCTGCGCCTGCCACGAAAAGTGACAATATCATCTCATGTGAGCATTAACAAAATTTGCACCACCCCACACATTTGGAATGATTTCGACCCGTTCTGAGCACACTCCCATCCACCAAAATCGCCATTTCAGCTAAGACTTGTCACGAAAACCGAGTTTCGATGCCACACCCTGAAACGCAAATTCCAATGGCACGGCCACATCCAACATCCCAAAAACACGATTCTCCAAACGCTAATCCCAATGGAACTGCGCAGCAATCTGCGGATCTCACAAAACGCTACGCCTGTGCAACGAAATGCATCACGTTTCTTACACGACATATCCTGGTCATGCAAATCACAATGGAATAGGGGCGCAAACTAAGACGTAACACGTCCATGCAAAATCACTTGCAAAAGCTTCCCCCAATGGCAACAAATTTAAGACGCGACGACGACGACAAACAACGAAAGACGATGACAAACGACGAAAGACAAAATATTTTATAAAACATATAAATATAAAATAAATAAAAATGAAGTCTTTTATTATAATAAAAATTACGATGTTTTTAAAAATTATTATATATTATTTTTTATATTTTATATAAAATAATTAAAAAATTAAAAAAATAAATATTAACGACTTAATAATATAACTTTAATACGCGAAATAATTAAGGAATAGAAAAATAAAAATTAACGAGCGATTTAATAATATAACTTTAATATGCGAAATAGCTAAAGAATAAAAAAATAAGAATTTGCGATTTAATAATATAACTTAAATACGCAAAATATTTAATAAATTAAAAAATAATTACTAGCGATTTTATAATATAATTATAACGCATAAAAAAATTAAGAAACTAAAAAATAAAAACTAGCGGTTTAATAATATAACTTTAATATACGAAATACCTAGGGAAATAAAAAGCTAAAAATTAATAACTTAATAATACAATAATTTTATAATATAACTTTAATACGCGAAATATCCGGGGAAAAATTAAAACTAGCGACTTAATAATACAACTTAAATATGCGGAATATTTAAGGAGTTAAAAGATAAGAATTAGCGATTTAATAATAAAACTTCAATACGCGGAGCAATCTAGGGAGCTAAAAAATAAAAACTAGCGACTTTATAATACAACTTTAATATGCTTCATTCCGACTTGCTTTTTTTAGTGAGATTTCCTAGAAACATATACGTTACTTCTCCCCTTACCAACAACGCTCACGACGATAAGTTAAGCTATTACCGCTTAGAGGCCGATAGGAAATTTAGGAGGCCTACGCGCTAATTCGTTCACTATATATATAGTAAAGACCTTCACCAGCAGCAGACATAAACATACACACACAGACAGGGCTCATACACACACACACATCACACACAGAGACCCACGCACTACCTCAACTTACTCGGACACACACAGACAGAGACTCATATACACACGGACATAGATACACACACAGAGACCCACACACTACCTCAACTCACTCAACTTAACACTTCACACTGCACACTTAACAGATAACTCGCACTCTGACTTCCTACGTGATGAAAAATGCTTTCGGGCTACTAAATCTAAAAAACTTCCATTTCATTTCATATCAAGGAAAATATTATATTTATCGCAAGGATATATCGAAGATTATTCATAAAATACATTTATCGATATATTACAAGATTCACAGTCAGTCGCGCAAGTCGACGAGCTTGCTGCCTTGGTTGGATGTTAGGTGTTTTCAGACTACCTGTCGGGAATCAAATCCGAATTCTCCAGAATCCGGCGTAGCCAACACCCCACAGTGAAGTTAATCGCAAAGAAAAGCGAGAGGTGTCGATTCAAAAGATCAAAGTATGACCAAAAGAAAATGCAAGTTCTCGCTTCCAAACATTATTGTCAAAAGACCATGGCCCTAGCCGCTGGACCTATTCAAAGCAACCCTTATTTCTCAAAGACGCTCAAGACCCGCATACTCAAACAATCCACCACGTTTCCTGACATGGTTGGCACACAGCCACAAATGGCAAGCAAATGATGCCAAACAACTTGACCAAACAGATGTAGCCAGAGTATTGTGGCGCTCATACGGAAACCGCTTCGGAGCGCATACGTCGCCCCCCTCCCCAGCAATTTGACAATCCAAGCGACTCCATTGGCATTGGCTGGCGCAGTGACAAGAAGCATCGTCTTCATCAAATGGCGCTGCCTCACACTCCCCAGCGCGTGATTAGCCCCGGCATGGAAGCGCATTTCTGACACGTTGTTGTTTGATTTCATGCCACTTTAGCGTCTGCTGTTAATGGAGACCGGTCACCCCAAAAAAAACAGTTTCCAAACATCTCGGATGAAAGCAAAATGCAGCTGCGCGGGGACAAAGAGTATTTCGACACCATTGCACCTGAAACTGTTGTTGTCCACTGATGAAAAAAAACCTTTCATGACCCACCAGCGATCCCGCAACCGGTTAACAATGGCTACCAGCAATCGCGTGCAACAAGCTTCACCGAGAAGCCTTTGCAACTGCCTGGAGCTCTTGAGTTGGGCAATGCCACGCGGTGGGCGTGCTGTGCAAAAGATCTTTCAAACACACCACACCCCCTTTTTGCAGCGCAAGACTTTTTACAGCGTCTGCGTGAATCCGAGCTGTTATCACATTGCCTACTCGAAGTGTCTGAGGTTAGGATGTTCCAGATCACGCGTGTTTATCAATTGTCCTTTAGTGCCCGAAACAGTGATCTACCAGTTGCTTCACTTTGCTGATGAGCCCACGTGCAGGAAGTCGTCAAGCATGCTCCCTAATTGGTCGGTCCAGCGGAAACCGACTGCCACCATAGGTTTTTGGCCACCCGATCTTTCGACTTGCAAAGACATTGTTTGCAGATCGCGATCAAGCTCTGCCCAAGCATGGGACAAGGACAAAGCTACCAGCAGGGCCCCAAAGCCGATTTTGCGTCGGGGTTGGTTTGTTTTTGTTTCCAAACTTAAATATTCGCGACGCCGGCCTTTCAAAATCATGTGTCCTTTTCCTCTTAGTCCGCTTGCGTGCTGTTTCTCAAAACCCAAACGGTTGGCAAATGCTTGAGCGTAAGCTGTCTATGAGTGGGCTTCAATAAACCGACATCCGACAAAGCAACAAGCACAAGAAACAGGCTTTTGACTGAACGGCGGCCTTAGCTCAAAATTCTATCAAGTTTGATCAGATTGTCAAGGCCGAAGTCACCCCGACTCATCCAATATTGGGACCGCCAATAAGAGCAAATTCCTGGGGCTGGGAATGCGCCCTATATTTGCACTGCCGAGTGCAAGTACCTTCCTCAATCTTCCATCGGTCACCTTAGAACCAACTCTTGTGCCGACTTCCGACTTGTAAGGGCCGCCCCGTCATGAAACGATGACCCGCTTGGACGAAAAACCGTTTGCTTTAAGTTGGGGGCAGTCCATGCTTTGAGCATCAGCAGCGGAGATTTGGGTACGCGCCTGGCTTGGCAAGAGCCCGTTGGATCGGGGTCAAATAGCTGAGTGAAGAAGCAGCAGGGCTGAAGGCCAAAGTGAAGAGAAAGCGCTGGTTGAGAGTTGTAAAAAGAAACCATGTAGTTCCGTTCAGTCTCTGGGCAAGGCGTCGCCTGTGTCCAGTCATTGACGAGGCTTGTCGGTGACAAGAAATGCCTCTGATGGCTTTGGCCACAACAACATATTGGTGTTGCTCCCAAACAGAGAGGCCCACGAGCCCAACCAAATGCACACACGCGTTCAAGAACAAGCGGCCAAAGAGTCTGACGCTTTTGTGGGGCGATCTTGTGGCGTATGCTCTTGTGGGGCTCTTGTAGGGCCCTCCGGGAAACTCATGTGGGGCACTTTCGCGACGCTCTTGTGGGGCACTCTTCTGCAGCACTCTTGTAGGGCATTCTTGTGGCATAGTCTTGTGGCATAGTCTTGTGGGCACTCTTGTCGGGAAAGCCAGACGAGGCTCGCGCATGCTCTTGTGGAAAACTCTTGTGGGGCACCCGCTCTTGTGGGACGGGCGCTCTTGTACGACTCTGGTACCCTCCAAAGCCCACGCTCCCTCGGAGAATTCATGCGTCAAGTCTCCACAAAGACTTCCTCCAAAAGTCATGCGTCAAGTCTCGAAACGAGTGTTTCGTGCAAGACTTTCTCCAAAAGTGAAGCGTCAACCCCCCAAAGCGAGTCAAGCATCCCTGCCAAGCTGTTAAACGTCACAACCTCACGATTCCCTGCGCCTGCTGCTTCCCACAAAAAGAAAACTTTACACTCCAATCCGCGCAGCTGCCACGAAACGGCGTTACATTTTTGCTACATCGCATCTTCGTGCACCATCCTGAGCACGCTCGCGTCAACCGAAATCGCGCTTTTGGCTGAGGCTTGTCACGAAACACAGTGTTGAGGCAACAACGTGAAGGGTAAATCCCAATGGGACACCACATGTTACACTTCCATGCTATTTCTCCTCCAAACTTCCCGCAATGGCGCAGCGTTGTCGACACATTCTAAAGATTGCGGACGGTTGCGGACATGGAAACAGCATCGCGTGGACAGCGCGCTACCCTCACACCCCCAAAGTTAAACTAGAACCCGTCGCCACGCAAACCGGAATAGCCGCGTCTTTCAGAATGACAATGAACTTGGGAAAGGAAGCAATAATTTACTATGTTCTGTATGGATAACGCCGGTCTGAGCACCAAGGACTTTTGACGGGCTTTCCGGCTTCGAAATCAGCGCAGGGGTATTGGAGAAAAAGGCCTTATTGAAAGGTTTACATTAGCTTCACGCTGCTCCAAGCCACTGGTAGAGTGTTTCCAATCTCTCGTGAAACTTGTCGGTGTGGCGCAAAACCCGCATGGCTGCACCTTCCGGACGGCCATCGCGACACCAAGGCGCCACCCAATTTCGCATCCCGATGCTGGTGCCTGCAATCGTGACAAAGAGCACAAACAGAATCCATGGGCATTTTCAAGATTGGGGGCAGCGTTGTTTTGGTGCAACGGCTGCCAATGCCATTTCAGGGCGATAACCAGGCGAAACTACAATGTAGACAATGCGCTTCTTTTACAACATGAAAGTGAACATCTGCTCTATCACGTGGTAGGCTGTATCTGTGGCTAGCCAGTCTCATGTTTCTCCCTGTTTCTGGATGAATCACTGCCCTTCTTTTTCCTACAAGCACCTGCGAAGAGTTCGCCTTGAAGAACAACTACCGTCATCTTCTACATCATAGCTCTCATCGTCAGCACCATGTGCCCAAACGGTGCGTCGATATTTGTGGGTAGAAATCTGTCGGCGTCATCATCATCATCATCAAGGCTGCCTAGAAATCTCCGTGTCAAGATGTAGGTGTATAGACGTAGGCGCGCTAGATAGGCGTCTATATGTGCTTGCGCAAAATACAACTTCGACGTTAGAATGCAAATTTGGCGTGGGCGCGCGTGTCGAGTGCGTGGTGTGATTTTGGTTCGCCCAAAAACTCTTTGCCATTGCAGGATTTCGCGCCAAGTGTCTGAGGTGGTGGTAAAGCGCGAGTTTGGCGATCAAAGTGTGGCTTGTTCTGAGAGTCTAGCTAGCCCTGCTCTGGAATTCCCAACTTTGCAAGGCAAACGTCGCGCGCCATAGACATGTAGTGTACGGTGGGGAATACCTCCTAGCGTTGGGCAAACAAGTGCAAATGTGGTTTGGGGACTACTGTGCAGTGAAACCATTTCCCATTGTTTTTGTTGAGGTTTGCGGGTCATCCGGGTTGATGTGGCCTCGGTGGAAAGTGTGTTGCGTGGTTTCGCACCGTAGAAATATGTGTAAATGCGGCGTGTTGCTGGTGAGCAGGATGGTTTGCGTCCTTGACGTCGCTGTGCCATGCTGTTTGAAGGTTTGACAAGAAAGTGTGTGTGTGTGTGTGTGGCGGCGCCGTTTGAGAACAGGACGCACGCGCGTGTAGACGCAGCGTTACTAGTGAGCGGGAGGGTTTGTGGCGTCAACCAAGCTTGGAATCCCAAATTCCGTCTTTGATATTGCTACGCCATGCGTTTGGGTGTCGCCTCGGTGGAAAAGGCGTTTGTGTGGCGCGTTGGAAAACCTTGGTGGGCACCTGCGAAGAAGAGCAGGAACCAACTTCATCATCATCATCATCATCATCAGCATCATCATCATCATCATCATCATCATCATCTGTACCTTTAACATCATCACTATCATCGTCATCGCCATCCATTACGTGTCCAAACCCCTCTCAGTGAATGAGTGCTAGACATCAAGACGCAACGCTAGCTTTCCCAGATGGCGAGGAGAAAGAGCTGCCTGCGCGCGCCTTAGAGCCTGGGCGGCGCCGCTGAGGTGCCGTCAATTGTTTTCTCTCTTAAGCGCCCGTTAGACCCTCAGTCCTACTTTGCTTTCGGGCCACGCTGTCTAGTTAGTTGTAGGTGAATTCCAAGGAACCTGTCATCCTTCTATCAGTTCGGGACAAGCTGCGAAAAGCTAGGACTCCAGCAGAAACGAAATACTGTACCGCGTTGAAAACGTCAACGTCACCTGAGAGAGTGCATTGCGAACCATTGCGAACCCGGGGCTCAAAATTTCCAACGCACCCGCCACGCTAGAAAAGCTTTTAGCGTCCGAGTCGCAGTAGTCATGATATACAATTGTTTCCACACAGCATGGAATTTGCCGCAGCACTGCAAAGGTCTCCCTGCCAATGTGTGCAAGTTGTGCATCGATAGCGCAAGCGCTGATGTTCTGGACTGCAAAAATACCAAAGCTGTGAGGATGGGAAGCATCTATGTGAATACTGACGAT